TTCCGTCCTTCTGAATGGAAAAATAGGAATATTCATGTTTTCCTTCACTATAACAAAAGATCGGAGACTGATCACTTTATAAAGAAAAGTTATTAAGCTCACTATTTTAGAGGTTCAAAGGCATGGTGCTGGGACCGAATCCCAGGCCCTGGTAGCCCTAGGGGGAGTAGCTGATTGCTTGTACCTGACTGGGTTTCATGTATTGATACTACTCTGTTCTAATTAGAGAAATGGATGAGAGAATAATTTGTTTCTTTTTGTTGCTGGTATAGGGGCTTGAGCTCTGGGTCTGGGCACAGTCCCCAAGTTTTTGTGCTCAAGGCTGGTGCTCTACCACTTGAGGCACAGCTCCACTATTAGCTCTTTGGTGATTCATTGGAAATAAGAATCTTGTAGACGTTCCTGCCTGGGCTGGCTTTGAACTGTGATCCTCAGATGTCAGCCTCCTGAAAAGTTAAGATTACAGGCATGAGCCACTGGTGTCCAGCCTAGAATTCATTTTACCCAACGTCATGATGAACTAACATCGTTTGGTACATAGTAGATACTTGATTCAAAAAATTTATATTTATGACCGGAATTGAATGAGGAGCTTTTCAGGAATGTGCTGTCATTTAAGTAACCTTGGCTGCGCAGCTACTGGAGATCAACTTGGACATCAGATCTGCCCGTGTGAGGGAGGGCATCAGGGTCTGGAAATCTCAGCATCTCCATTTTTTTTTTCCTTTGGCAGACAAAGCACCATGGTCTCTGCATGCTTCCAACACCCCACCGCTCCTCTCCTGAGCTACGGCCGATCAGATGGGAAGATAATCCCTTGCAGAGTGGAGATTTAAACTGTTATCTAACAGACTGCTGGTGGATTAGTGAGGCTTTCTGATAAAAATTTTTTAAAAAATCCTTAAAGGGGTTAGAGTTACATTTCCCCCTTCACACAGGGAGCAAGGGAAGGACTGTGCTTGGTTGACTGTGCTGCAGTTTTGACCGGAAAATTAATGAGATGAGAAACAGGACTACACGGCAGGCAGGCGGTGAGGTTTAAGGTGATGGCTGCAGATTGGCTCTGACACAGCTAGGATTTCCTCAGGAAAAATCTGGACAAGACATTCACTCCCCAGGCCTCACCTCCCTTAGCTTCAAATGGGAAATAATGACACCTGCCTGACAGGGACATTGTGCAGATGAAATGAGCTCGCTGATATAAAAGGCCTTTGAAGAACTTAAAATGGCGACTCTGCATGATGCTGCTTAGGCTGCGTGGGAGTCACACCGCAGGGTGGAGGTTGGGCCTGGCATCCCGGAGGCCTATGGTCTCTACTTGCTTGTGGGTTCTGTGAGGGAGAATTGTGGTAGAGCCACAAAGGTCTCCGAGTCGCGAAGGAACAAGTGATGTCTAATTGTGTCTTTGAGACCCAAAGGAGGGATTGCCAGGATGGAGAATGGGCCATCCTCACTACTGGTGACTCGTCCATGTGCCCTTGAGGACTGGGTCAAAGCACAAGCTCAAGGTCACGGCCTCCAAATGCCCTTAGAGCAAGACAATTAAATTCTTTTGGTCTATGCTTATTGTCCATAAGACTTCCTGAGGAGAAGAAATCTTTCAGGTTCCTTAGTAAATATAAATTCTGGTTGGGGAGGAAATAATTTATAACTGTTTTTGTTGTTGTTGTTGTTGTTGGTCACGGGGCTTGACTCAGGGCCTCTCAAGGTGAGTGCTCTGCCACTTGAGCCACAGCGCCACTTCTGGTTTTCTGGTGGTTTATTGGAGATGAGTTTCACCGGGGGGAGGGGGGGGGTGGGGGGGTGGGGGGAGTGGGGGGGGGTGGGGGGGGGTGGCCAGTGGTAGCGTGCTTGCCTTGCATGCATGAGGCCCTGGGTTTGATTCCTCGGCACCACATAAGCAAAAAGAAAAAAGCTGGAAGTGGCGCTATGGCTCAAGTGGTAGAGCGTTAGCCTTGAGCTGAAGAGCTGAGGGACAGCGCCCAGGCCCAGAGTTCAGGCCCCACAACTGGACCTCCCCCCCCAAAAAAAGAGTTTCACGGACTTTCCTGCCTGGGTTGGCTTTGAACCTCGATCCTCAGATCTCAGCCTCCTGTAGCTAGGATTACAGGCATGAGCCAACGGCGCCCAACAACAGTGAAATTATAGAACAGTTCCTAAACTTAGACAAAGGGGAGACAGTGTTCTTATTTAATAAGGAAAAGTAGATTTCAGGGTAACAATAGACATGCTTGTGTGTGTGTGTGTGTGTGTGTGTGTGTGTGTGTGTATGTGTGTGGATGTATGCTGGTCCAGGGGCTTGAACTCAGGGTCTGGGCACTGTCCCTGAGCTTCTTTTGCTCAAGGCTAGCACTCTACCACTTGAGCCACATCTCTACTTCTGCTTTTTTCTGCAGTTTATTAGAGATAAGATTCTCACAGACATTACTGCCCAAGCTAGCTCTGAACCTTGATCCTCAGATTTCAGTCTGAGTCACCACCCCCCCCCCCCCCGGGGGGGGGTGTGTGGAGGGATGCTGATTGGACATAACACTTTCACTGTATGAATCATAGCCCTTACACGCAGTGTAAAGACCACACACAGTCCTTACAGGAGGGTAGGAGAACTGAGAGGGCTTGCTCGGTAGCAAATCAGAAAAGCTCTATCATCTTCTAAAGCCATGTGCATTCACACTGCAGAGGCCCCCAGCACTAAGCAAAGGACTGTGCCCTTTATCCCCTTGACAGTTGGTGGCTGGGAAGGGGTGCAATGGACTGAAAGTAGCATTAAGAGGATTACTCAGACTGCAGTGTGCAGGCTGGCATAGGTCCGGAAGGAAGCAGGCCAATCATAAGGAGGCTGCTGCAATCATCCAAGGGAGCCATGGCTAGTACCTGCCCCTTTCTTACTTGGTTCGAATGTGGACTACGTTCAGCCACACCTGAGACCACTGAAGTCTTGCTCTACCATCTCCTGCTCTTCCTGGGCCTGCTCTCACAACCCATCTGGGGTGCCAGCAGCCTTTGTCACCAGCCCAGCTCTCCCCTTCTACAGGTGCATCTGCATCGGGATAACACTGGACCTGGAGGTCTACTCCAGAGGGGGACAGTAAACCTGAGCTTCTATTTCCCTATCCCCCATCTTTGGGGTAGGGTCACCTAGCAACCCCAATCAAAGTCCCCTTGTTTGAGAACTCCAGAGAAGGGTGTACAGGAATGGGCAGACAGTGGGGCTGACCTGCTAACAATGATAGCTCCTCTTCCTCAGCTCTGCGCAGAAATCATCTCAATCCTTAAGTCCAGAAAGTCGTCCTCACATCTCCTTGGTGGTGCCCCTCTCCTCCTCGTGTCTCCATTCACTTGCTCCCAGGGCTGGGACAATTCTCTGAGGAGCACACTGGCTTCTGGGTGTGTTGATTTGTAATTGTTCCTGGGTCTTATGTCTTACCTTTTTTTTGAATTCTGAGGTCAGGGCTTCTGAACCCAGGGGAAAGATGTTGAGGATCACTCACCGGCCTTTCTGTATCTCTACTTTCTTGTGAAAGGAGACATTTTTGGGTCAGTGAATGGCATGGGGTAGGTTCCAATAAAGCAGATTGTGGATGCACGGCAGATGACCACTGACTGATTTTCTGCGTGAGCGTCCTATGAGCCCTCAGCCCTTGTTTTCTGGTTCAAATAATTCTTGCTGTCTGCTCATGCCTTTGATGCAGTGAAATCCTCACTCACCCATTTTCATGGGAAAATTTGTCTCTCAGCTGCCCAGAAGGCGTAGACGTCTGTGTGCATTGCAGCTGGAGGGGATGCCAGGGATGGGAATGAGCAGATGGAGCTGCTGGAGATTAAAAGTGCAAATGCTGGAGATGGATGGAGCTGTGGCTCAGGCTGAGCTGCACTGGCACACCTGGCAGCCGGCCAGTCACACAGAGCTGTTCCTTGTGACTGACCGGTGACAGAAGTCCAGCTCTAGCACTGGGAAGAACTGAGGTGGCTGGTGGCTGGCTGCGATGCTCCACCATCCTGTGTCCCCCCCCCCCCCCGCCCCGCCCTGCTAGCATCTCAGGGGTTGCCTCTCCACCCTTGCAGTGGGGTGGGGGTGAGGGGAGCAGCCTCAGGCCACAGTCAGACCAAGGCAAAGAACACCTCCTTTTTCATTTTTGCCCTTTGGAAACTGAGATCACATTAGAGAACCTGTTAAACAGAAAGAAGTGATCCAGCCAGTTTCTCATCTCGGTCGGCCCTTGGCTACCATGCCAAGGATGTGTACAGGGGGTGATGGCTGCTCTGGGTGGCCTGCTAGCCTCTGCTCCCCTCTTCCCAGGGCGCCAAGGAGATTAAGGCCTGAGGCTCTGGGGGTTGAGGAGAAAGAGCTAATATCATAGTGAGGATATGGCAATCAACAAGTTTTCCTAGTTCTAAAGTCAGGACAAACAGGAAGTAGCAGAGGCACATCCGTTAGGGTCATGGATTCCAGTACTTTCTGTTCACCCCAGGGTCCTGCCAATGTCATTACAGCCCTGCTCCAGGCCCTGGCAGGCCATAGTTATTTGGCTCCTGAGCTCTGAGGGTACTCAGAACCCCATCCCAGGCAGGATTCCCGTTCCCAAACCTCACTGCCATGTAAGTAACTTACCTGAAAAGTCAGGCCACTGGGCTTAAGGATCTTCGTGTGCTGGGCTTCAGAAGCTGCCACCACTCACTCGGTTACCACTGTAATGATCTTAAAGTACTCAGAGCTGGATTGTAGATGCTGAAGTACCACAGCCTAACCTCCTCCATCTACTGCTACCCCCCCCCCCCCCCAGCATTCTGCCAGCAAGACACAGCAAACGGGGCAGAAAGTAGCAGAAGGCACTTCAAAGGCAATGGGAAATGTGGCTTTGGGTCAGCTGGCTTCGAGCCTCTGCAGAGGAGGAAGAAACATCTGGAGACAGGTGGGATGGGTGCTGAGGGAGTGACCAGATGAAAATGCAACAGATGAAGAAAAGAATCACTCTGATCTGGAATGGCTATTTCAATGGTCTTTATTAGCACAGCAACAACCCGTAATGTGGCACACCACGTCTGTCAAGAATTATTGATGTATTTCATCACGGAGTTGAGAATTTCTATCCCGTGATGCTCTTTCAGCTGAATGGCAAACCTGTGGTAATCAGAACACAAACACCAGGCCATGAATGTCACACGTCGGAGCCATCTCCTGCCTTCTGGAGCCCGCTGGGGACCTCAGCCCCAACATTCTGGGCGAGGAGGGCAAGTGGGGAGCCCTAGTGATCGGGTCGGTGAGGAAGGCTCTCAGGAGCCCAGCAAACGCAAAGCTCTCTGCTTGCCAGTGTCAGGCGTGTTCTCTGGAAACCCCTGGCAGGCTGCCACTCTGAGCGAGCTCATCCTGGTTTACCAAACCTTACTTCCTGTGGAAGGAAGCTGTTTTTTTGTCAGTCATGGGACTTGAACTCAGGACCTAGGTGCTGTCCCTGAGCTCTTTTGCTCAAGGCTAGCTTGAGCCACAGTGCCACTTCTGGCTTTTTCTGAGTAGTTTATTAGAGGTAAGAGTCTTACAGGTACTTTCCTGCCTGGGTTGGCTTCGAATTCAGATCTGTGCCTCCAGAGCAGCTAGGATTACAAGTGTGAGCCACTGGCACCTGGCACGCTCTCTCTCTCTCTCTCTCCCTCTCTCTCTCCCTCTCTCTCTCCCCCTCTCTCCCTCCCTCTCCCTCTCTCTCTCTCCCCTATTTCCTCCATTAGATTAGTCAAACAGAATCTGGAAGGCCCTTAGATGTCAACCACACCAACCCTTATTTTACCGAAGGGAATTAGGGGTAGCTAGCTGTAAGGAAGGAACCATCCTCGCTCCATCCACCAGGCTCTCCACTTCATGCCAGGGGTCATGGCTCAGCCCTCGGGCTAGACCTTTCAAGGCATGCATAATGGGGGTTTAAAGCTATTAACCAGACCCAAGCAGGGCGGGATTCTGAGCTAAAGGAGAAACAACGTGGCTTGGCATCAATGGCTCACGCCATAATTCCAGCTATTCAGGAGGCTGAGATCTGAGGATTGCAGTCTGAACCCAGCCCAAGTAGAAAAGTCTGTAAGAGTCCATCTCTCATTAACTGGCAAAATACTGGACTAGGAACATGGCTCATTGGTAGAGTACCAGTCAGGGGCAAGAAGGTGGAAGGCAAGGGTGAGGCTCTTGAGTTCTGCATGGCATGGCCTCCAACAAAGCACAGCGCCTAGCTTGGCCTGTCCTCTCTGGCTTGGTGGGCAGTAGGCCCTGGTACCTGGGCTCGGCTGTGCACAGCTTCCCCAGAGCAATGCCTGCGTTGAGTTGCACGGATGGCCTCTGTGTGTCACTGCCTGTCAGCCTCAGCAGGATTGGTACCAGGTCTGTCTTCAGCAGGCAAGATGCAGCACTGGGCACCTCCATGCAGTTGCCAAGGCAGAGGGCAGCATTACCCACCACAATCTCATCCTTTGAGTTGAGTACCTTCACCAGAACGCTGAACTCTGTGGGGACAGAAGGACACAGGCATCAATCCCTCCCCAGATAGGAGGCTGGGGGGGGGTCCCAGGGTCTCCCTGAATGCCGTGCTTCCCCTGAAATGCTGAGACAGATGTGCTCACGCATCCAGCAAACATCCTCTGAGCGGGCTGACCTTCCTCCACTCCTGTCCCTGTGCCATCTCGGGTAGGTCTATTCCCTCCCTCCCACCTTCCTTCCTTCCTTCCCCTTCCTTCCTTCCTCCCTCCCTCCCTCCCACCTTCCTTCCTTCCTTCCTTCCTTCCTTCCTTCCTTCCTTCCTTCTTTCCTTCCTTCCTTCCTTCTTTTCCTTCCTTTCCTCCTCTCTCCATTCCTTCCTTCCTCTCTCCCTTCCTTCTTTCCCATTTTTTTTGGGGGGGGATGGTGGTTCCTATATTGGCTATATTGGTGCTTAAACTCAGGGCTTTGTACCCTTGCTTGCTTGGATTTTTTTTGCTCAAGGTTGGCCCTCTACCAGTTGAACCATACCTCCAATTCCACATTTCTGGTGATTAATTGGAGTTAGGTTTCATGGCTTTTTCTGTCTGGGCTGGCGTCAAACCAGATCCTCAGATCTCAGCCTCCTGAGTGTCTAGGATTATAGGTGTGAGCCACCATCACCAGAAAATCTATCTTCTAAAAAGCCTCTCTAGCCCCCACCACGGTGAGGTGTTTTACCCAGCAGCCTGAATGCAAAGCCCTGTGCTAGCATCTTGTATCTGCTCAGGTAGAAGGCTCAGGTAGAAGTCCCAGCTTGACTCGTGAAGGAGAATATTAACCGTCTGCATGACAGCCTGGCTGTGATGTAAGTCACAGAATGAAGATAGGTTCAGACTCTACCCTTGTTCATTGAAGGTATTTCATCTCTCTCTCCCTCTCTGAAGAAACAGAGCTATGTTAGGTCTTCAGATTGCCGAAGCTTCGACCCTGCTTTCTCTGAGTTGCCTGCCTGTATGTAACCCAAGTCTAGTGAACTGCTTTTCTGTCCAGGTAAGCGGACAACTGGGCTCGGATATTCCCGACAAGCCCCTCCCTATGCTTGGTTTCATCCGGCAGCTTCTGGGATGGGCTAGCCTCTGGATGGCGGAGCCTTCACGACACGGTCACTTACTTTTGTCCAGCTTCATTATTTCCTCCCGAGCCTCGTGGAAACTGTTGGTGCAGACAGCCAGGATCTTTATGGCATAACGTGACGCGCTCTGGCCTCCTGTCTAGATTCCAGAAGGACATCAGAACACCAATACTTCCTTTTTCTTTTTCTTTTTTTTGGTGCCAGTACCCAGGCTTGAACTCAGGGCCTGGGCACTGTTCTTTAGGTTTGTTTTATTTTTTGTTGTTGTTGTTTTTTGCTCAAAGCTGTTGCCTCACCACTTGAACCACAGCTCAACTTGCAGCTTTTTGCAGGTTAATGGAAGATAAGAGTCTTAGGGACTTTCCTGCCTGGGCTGGCTTCGGTGATGCTCAGAGCTCAGCCTCTTGAGTAGTTAGGATTGCAGCCATGAGTCACAGCACCTGGCACTTTCATCTTTCTGGACCAAAAATCATAATCATAGTGAGCAAGTGTTGAGGTACTAGTGGCTTCTTGGATGTCCAAAGGAGGACTCTACTGAGAGTAATGCCTGGAGCATAACTCACCCCCTGACGCCCGAGCTAGCCGGTACCCCAGGCAGGGATGCAGCCCTTCTATGTACACCTGACAACTCCGGTAGACTGCGAGCGGCTGGGAGACAGTGATGCTGGCAGATGCCCCCAACCTCAAAAGCGAACCTGCGGTGTCGCTTCTCCTTTGTAGATGAAGGCGGACAGAATATCACCATCAGAGGTAACAACTGTGCAATCGTAACCTTTAAAAACATCCTGTGTGCACGTGGGTGCACGTGCATATGTGTGACACGTGAAAGCATGCCACCCACAGTCTGGTTACAGAAGTTTTAGAATGTGGCTGGGCACCGGTGGCTCATGTCTGTGATCCTAGCTACTCAGGAGGCTGAGATCTGAGGATGGCAGTTTGAAGCCAGCTCAGGTAGGAAAGTCTGTTAATCTTTTATCTCCATTTAATCACCAAAAACTGAGAAATAGAGCTGTGGTTCAAGTGGTAGAGCACCAGCTTTGAGCAAAAAACCATGCGGGCCCTGCGTTCAAGCCCTTGTATTGGCATGCGTGGATGCACACACACACACACACACACACACACACACACACACACACACACACACACACAGCCGTAGCATGTCACTGTCCAGGCAGCACTCTGAACTCACTCCTACTGTCCCATCCCCAGCTCTCCCCATGTTTTGGCAGCACCCCCTCTTTTTTCAGGCTCTGCTCAGCCTGGGGTTTGTGTGGACCCCACTAACATGGATGAGAGGGCCTCACCGGACATAGATATCACAAGTGGGATTCAGCAACAGCAGCCCAATAATTCACTTTGCCTTGCAAGTGAATCTAGTCACCCATTTGCATGCGCTGCACTCACTTCTTGGGGGGAAATCCTATCATCCTTTGGTCACGTGGCAACTCCACGGCCTCTTGGTCTCATAAATGGATTACATCTGACACACTCCTTGTAACTACATAAAGCATCATGGGTCCGAGAACAAGGTAACTGGCAGGAAGTTATGCATACCATCTTAAGGACAGAGGCCATGCATCTTATAGTTGGGCTTCAAAGAGTAAGCATTGTTTTTCTTTTCTTTTCTACTTTCAGTGCTGGGAATGGAACCCAGGGCCTTGCACATTCCAGGAAAGCCTGCTACCACTGAGCTCCATCTCCAGCCGTGGCCAAACCATTTCCAAGGCTGTACCTAAAGAGCATTTCTTTTGTTGGTTATTTGCTCAGCAATCGTGGCATTCAGAGCCCTGTCCAGTGGACAGGCGGAAGAGACTGGCTATCCCAGAAGCTGGAAATGCGGTAGGGGTGACACAGTGGTACATTCACTGATCAAAGCCCACACTTGTGCTGTTCCCTGAGTAAAAATGGCTGAGTTCTGGATGTGTAAGAGGTGGTAGGCAGTAAAGTTACTTTACCTTCAGGAATTTAATCATTTTCTTCACTATTCCTGCTCTCAGAGCCTCCCGGATGATTTTCAGAGAGGAAGGAAGAGTTCGGCTCAGAACACCGGCAGCTCTCTGAGGGGAGCGGGTGGGGGAGGGGAATTATTAAATGTTTTTGTAGAAATGCAGATGACTTACAAGTTTGGTGAAGCTGAAAGTTATTATTGGTCCCCTCCTTGATTTTTATCCACCTGCTACTTGATTTGTATCCCCCATCTCCTGCCAGTACTGGGGCTTGAACCCAGGGCCTTGTGTTCTCTTATTTGGCTTTTTTACTCAAGACTGGTCCTCTCACCATTTCCGCCACCACTTGTGGCTTTTTGCTGGTTCATTGGAAACAAGAGTCTCACAGACTGTCCTGCCTGGGCTGGGTTTGAACCGCAATCCTCAGATCTCAGTTCTGAATAGCTATGATTACAAGCATGAGCTGCCTGTGCCAGATTTATACTTGGATTTTAAAGAACAACAAAACAATGAAATAGTCAAGGAGCACAGAACATGTGTGGTTCCTCTTAACAAAGCTGCTAGGTAGACCACTGGGAGGGCTGCAAACATTTGCCCCAGGTGCACAGAGACCAACCAGTTTATTTCAGTGTCACACAAAAACAGCCAGCTCCCCTCAGAAAGCAAGGTCTCCCCAGTACCTCCCAGGGCCCCCCATGCCCCCAGGACCCTCCTTAGGAGAACTGTTTCCTGTATTTGTCCTTTGTGTCTTTTCATTTTCCTTTACCTTTCTGAGGTTTTGGACTTTTTTTTGGGGGGGGAAGGGTCCTACTTTCTGGGTGATTCCATTTACTTTTCAGCTCTCAGATTAAAAATAATAATAACAATTAGCAGCAGTGGCACTGTGGCTCAAGTGATAGAGTGCTAGCCTTGAGCTGAAGAGCTTAGGGACAGTACCCAGGCCCAGAGTTCAAGCCCCATGACTGACAAAATCAAAATAAAAATCCCAATAAAAATTAGCAGCTACAGTTTTCTGGATATACTACCTTTAATCTTTCCCAAGCTATAAATGGCAGTTATATTCTTTCTTTGATTTCCTATACTTCTTTCCATTTTCATGTTTACACTTAAAAAAAATAATTTCTGAGTGTAGCATTCTCGAAATGTCTGGTAACCCTTAGCTGCCCAATCAGTTCTTTAATTAAAAAACAGTGCAGATGGGCGCCGGTGGCTCACACCTGAATCCTAGCTACTCAGGAGGCTGAGATCTGAGGATCGAGGTTCAAAGCCAGCCGGGGCAGGACACTCCGTGAGACTCTTATCTCCAATAAACTACTAGAAAACCGGAAGTGTTGCTGTGGCTCAAGTGGTAGAGTGCTCACCTTGAGCTGAAGAACACAAGGACAGCGCCCAAGCCCAGAGCTCAAGCTCCATGACCCACAACCCCCGCCCCCCTAAAAAACCAAAACAAAACAAACCAGTGCATCTGGGGATGCTGTGCCTACAGGAAATTTATGAACTGGCAGAAAGACAGGTGACACCCAAGAGAGATGGTTCTATAAGGAAAAATCTCTTTTCTCTGGTCTTGCAACTTGTTAAGAGAAGTAAATACATGCAGGACTTAAATCCATTGCAAAAGCCCTAATACAGTGGTCTCTACAATTCCTTTTTCAATGTTCTAAATAAAGCCTATTTTACGGTGCTTCTGAAAAGAAAAAGAAAGACGAAAAGCTGGACATGGTGGCAGGCAGGATGATTATGGTCTGAGGCCGGCCTGAGCAAAAGTGGTATATTCTATTTGAAAAACAAACTAAAGGGGAAAAAAAGAACTGAATTGGTAGAGTGCTTGTCTAGCAAATATGAGGCCCTGAGTTTAATCCCCAGTACTGAAGAAAAACAAACAAAATAACAGCTCTGATTTTATGCTTGGGGATGGATGCCTGCCTGCCACATGTAGTTCCTATTCCTGGTAGTGCCTTCAGTGTCCCTGCTACTGTAAAATCTCCATCCTTCCAGGACTAGGCCACTCTGCTGCCTCCAGCCCTGCCCCCCCCCCGTCTCTCTGTCTCTCTCTCTGTCTCTGTCTCTCTGTCTCTGTCTCTGTCTCTCTCTCTCTCTTTTTGCCAGTCCCGAATTATCTGAATTCAGGGCCTGAGAGCTGTTCCTAAGCTTCTTTTTGCTCAAGACTAGTGCTCTACCACTTAAGCCATAGTGCCCCTTCTGGCTTTTTCTGTGTATGTGGTACTGAGGAATCAAACCCAGCACTTCAAGCATACAAGGCAAGCACTCTACCACTAGGCCACATTCCCAGCCCATGAAGGAATCTTTAATCTGCAAATCACAGGCGATCTCTGTCTTCCAGAAATGCATTAAAATTACCCATTGGTGACCTCTCACCTCTCCAGTGTGTCAATGTAGATTTCCACTCTCTCTCCCTGATGCCTCTGTCTCCAGAGTGAGGCTGGACAAACCTGGGTATCATCATCTCATCAATCTTGTTTCCCTGAGCTGCTCTGTAGTCCCAGAATTCTGCTCCAGATGACAGAATTCCTATTTAGGCCCAAGATGGTGGAGGGTGTGTTCTACTCAAGGGCCAGAAAAATGGAGGTGATGACTAACTAATGCATGTGAAGAATATACACTGGGTTGATGGCAAGTAGTCTTTTGAATCATACTGACATTCTTCTGGTGCACTGTGCTAACCACACTAGGCCAGTTTTCTTAGCAAAAATGTCAGAAACCGAAGTATGAAAGTCATTCTAGTGTGTACCTCCAAAGGGGCCCCAAACAACCAGCCTCCAAGAGCACTGGTCTCAAACTTGTGGGCACAGTCTTCTGAGGACAGAAAAAAAAATGCTAAACTAAATCCTTGGGCTGTCTAACCTGTATACAGCATCTCTTGAAGTAGGGTAAGTCAAGCAGACCACATGTACATGCTGGTTAGAATCTAGAATATACAGAAAAGGGTTTAACTAGAGTTCTTGGATGTGAGAGGGGTCACAAGCAGGATACCAGAAGGGATATCACCCAATCTCCAAAAGCGTAGGTGAAATTTGGCATTTGTGTGCTTGTGGCATTATTCACACCATACCTGGGAGAGACAGTGGGTTTGCAGAGACTGCAAATAAAGTCATCATAATGGTATTGAAAGCAAACACAAACAAGAGTAAGAACACTGAGTCTGGATATCCAGAGAGACTTACTGTCAGGATTCCTCCATCCTGGCTGTTGAGTAGAGACAGGCACTTCCTGCTTACCTCCATGGCCCATGCCTACAACCACAGAGCGGAGAGGGTGATCTTAATGCCCAGATAAAATTCTCTGTAGAACTTCTTCTGAGCAACAAAGTCAGGGGGAGGGGGTCCATGTCCTCAAGGCCTCTACTTCTGTCGATTTCTCCCACCTTGCTCCCTCCTCTGCCCTCCCTTCCTGTGTCTGTCTTCCCTAACTCTTGCTGTACTCCACCAACCAGGGTCATGTTCTATTTGACTTCGTAAACGCAGTGCCCAGTACTGGACATGTGAATAGTTTTCTGAATGCACATATGATTCATCTTGCCCTCAGCAAAGTGACAGAATGCCCTCCTTACTCCCACTGCCAGGGGTCAGGCTCATGCGTATACATTCTCTTTGTAAGTGAAAGATTCTATGCAGTAAGATGTGCTTTGTCTGTCCCAGGGATCCTGGGGGGAGGTGGGGGACAGAAATTTCATACCTCTGAGACAAGGGGGACTTGAAGACACAGGTTCATGACAAGGCCCAGGAGGGTGTATATGACATCTCGGAAGAGGTCTTCCTCACATGTGACCTTGAGAGGAAACAAGATGACCACTGATGGCTTTAATGGAGCACTTCATGGCCAGCTCTTCTTTTAGACAGGGTCTCAGATGCCCATGCTCCCCAAACGGTCAATGCTCTGGGCTTAAGTTATGGGAAGTGCTCAGAGACTAGTTCTGTGGTTAGCAGAGACACAGAAGGGTACCTTCTGTAAAGAGCTTGGTTCTGGATTTCCACTGAAGAATGGGCTGTTGGAAATGGATGATCAGGCCAGCTCCACCCAAATCCTCCACATCTCTCCAAGGTGGGTGGGAGACTTGATATAGAGGCCACAGTCCACAAAATCTATGGCTATGGAAGGTATTAAACCATTGGGGCCCCAATGCCCCAAAAGAAAGACAGAATTTTTGGAAAAGCCATGCATTAAGAAGTCAATGCCCACAAAGAGGATAAAAGACCCATTTTGAATAGAAGAGCTAAAATACCAGGAGGCCCAAGCAGGCATCTGGGAATTTTTCGTAGGCCCACATGTGTCTCCGGGCGTCAGGCTTGGCACTGAGGTTCCCCATCATGCTGACACATTGGCAGAAGGCGGAGGTGCTGGTCAACATGGGGTCTCTCTTCTACAAGTGAATCAAGAGAAATGGAAGCCTCAGAGAGCAGGTGGAGAATGGCACACAAGTCCCTAGTATCAACCCTCACTCTCCAGAGAGCTCCTCATCACCTCGAATGGCAAAGGGGTCACCATAGCCACAGGATGAAGGCAAGAGGCAGACCAAAAAGGGCCAACAGGACCTGGCTCAGGCCTTTCCCTTCTGAGCAATTCTTCATAGATGTCTGTTGTTGGGGTGAGGTTGGTCCTGGTACTTTTCCAGTTCACCAAGTCCAACACTCTCTCCAGGGAGAACTCTCGCTATCTATCCTCGGCCTCATCAGCTCAGATGGCTCAACTGCCTTCCTGCTGGGGCGGATTTCCCTTTGGGGACGGAGTTGCAGGCTGTCCTGGTGACAGCACTGCACCAGGAACCAGCTGAAGGAGATGGATCTCCTGTCTTCCCCTAAAGTGCGGCTCACGCGCAGCCCTCCCATATGCCGTCTCCACCTGCTCCACCTGTAGTTGTTTTGACAACTGACATCTGCATCGATTCCAGTTGTAAATAAACGATGAGTCAACCTGAGAGACAACAGGCATTCTGGGCTGCAAACTGTATTTACACAGCTCTGCCTAAGTTTCTGAGCACCTGTCATGGAGAAGGGAAGGAAAATGGGGGACTGGGAGGCTGCTCACCAGGACACCGGTGAGCATGGGCAGAACGTCTGGAAGGCTGGCCTGGAACCAGACTTGAAATCTGTGGAGAAAACAGCAGCCAGCATTATTTCTAAATGACACAAACTGTCACTGGAACACACAGCCTCTTGGGTAAGGTAGCAGATGGTGATAAAGTGTCCCTCTGATCTACAGCAGGTGTGGATCATTTTTTCTGAGCCAGCAAAACAGGAAAGAAAAGCAAAAAGGTCACTGGGTGGATGTAAAGTGGCTTTAAGATGTCTAAGTCTGGCGAATCTGCTTTGATGTCGAATGACAGACCTCGGGGGCAGCTTTGCTGGACTCTGCCAAGCTGACCTTGTGCTGGCTCCCCTCCCCTGTTCCACACCTGTGCGTCCTGTGTGCCCTGCACAGGTGGCGACCACAGTGTGAGCATGTACACTTGTCACAGCTACCAGGAGGGCCCAGATGCACACACGTCTCCATGTGCTGGTGTGGCATCCCATAGTTCCAGCCAGCTGGCCTGGCTGTGAGAACCAGCCTTTCTCTGGTGTGCAAGGGTTTCTAGGCAAAACCCCTGAAGTGCATAGGGAAAGACAAAGAACCAAGAAAATAAGACATGACGTAAAAATCACAGAGCAAGGCAAGACAAACCAGCCAGGCAGAGATGGCTATGCACAGTGCCTCTGGCAGCCCAAGAGGATGCTACCATGTGCTTGCTCTCAACAGTCGTGCAAGGGCCCGCTTCCAGAAGCCCCCTGGATCCCAAGGTCTGTGGGTGCTCAAGTCCTAAGGGACTTATATAAAATGGGGGTTAGTATTTGCATATAACCCACATGATCATTTGTGAGTGCGTGCGTGTTGGTACTGGGGCTTGAAATCAGAGCCCGGCACTCTTGCTCTGCTTTTTTACTCAAGGCTGGTACTCTACCACTTGAGCCACAACTCTAGTTCTGCCTTTTTGCTGGTTAACTGGATGTAAGAGTCTCACAGATTTCTCTTCCTGGGCTGGCTTTAAGCTCTGATCCTCACATCTTAGCTTCCTGAGTAGCTGGGACTGCAGCATGAGCCACCAGTGCTCAGCTTCTTGGTCCTTTCGCCTTTATTCTTTATTACAATTCTTTTTACTTTGCTATTTTTTTCTAAAGGTTGCCCAGACAGGCCCAGACTACCACCTTCCTAGGTGTTTCCCTTGGGGCTGTGATGGCAGGACAGCATTACCACGTTCAATGGTTTATTGATTGAGATGGGATCTTAGGAACTTTTTGTCCTGGCTGGTTCACACTGTGATCTTCTTGATCTCAGCCTCCCAAGTAGCTATGATAATAGGGTGAGTTGTTACCCAGTCCTCTTGTATCATTAAATAACCTCTACTCTTTAGGTTACTAGATACTTAATAGCATGGTGTCATATAAATAGATGCTCTACTGAATTATTTAGGGAATGACAAGGAAAACATCTCTCTATATTCAGCACAGATGTACTTTTTCAACATTTTTGATGTGCATTTGATAGAATCCAGATAGAAAGAGCGGACTGCTTTTAGCAGTTTCTGCTCCAAACTCATGGAGGTCTGACTACCCTGTACCCAGAGGGGCTAGGGCGAGTGTGGACCGCAGACCTCTGGGAGATGCCACACACTCGGGAGGAGGCTGGCCTCATATCTCTGCACACGAGAAAAATCACCTAGTGCATCTCAAGTGGGAGAACTATCCATTTCGGGAAATAAAACATTACCTTTCTTCCAGAAACAAGTCTGTGAGCAGTCCCATGGCGGTGTTGGCCTTCTTATCTGAGAACTCGAGAAATAACAGCAGGGCCTCCAACAATCTGCAACAAACAAACCCCAACCCCATAAACACCTCAGAGTGGCCTGTCCTCAAACTCCCAGAGGCCCAGCAAAGAGACCTTTTGAGGAATCTGGGAAGGAGCAGCATCCACGGGGAGAAAAGCTAGAAGGATTGTCCAGGCAGGCTGCCCCAGAAGCTCTGCCAAGGGAACTTGGATGCTTGACCTGGGAAAACCTGGCTTCCCTTGGCACTGGACAGTGGGACCGGATGCACCTTCCAAAGGCTGGACCAGGCCCCTGCTGCGGGGCGGGTAGTTTGAGGCTGATGTATGGAGAGAGCTTCTCAGGATGCGGCTGGGCTGCCTGAGGAGGTGAGCTCTTATCTTCACTAGTGGGGCAGGGAAGCCCACCCGCATCCCCGTCCCATGACAAATGGAAGCAATGACAATCAAAGCTCTGGTTCAGACACAATGGAATCTGGGCATGCGTGCTGGATGGTCCTAAGCTTTTATACATCCCCGACTTCCTCAGGAGCCTACTCCAGAATTCCTGCTGCCAGACACCATTTGGATTCCTCCTCCTCCAACCATTGAATTCTCTTGTTTTTGGTCTTAAAGATGAAGGCTAATGAACTTTCATAGCACAGAATGAGACAACAGCCCGAGAGCATTTGGATTTAGTCTTGGGAGACACAGGCAAGTCAGCTTCCTCATCCCAGGACAACGCTCCTCCAGCCACACTCATTACCTACAGAGGACAGCGTGTCCCTTCCTTCCTGCTGCCGTCCCCTGCCCTGTAGATAGAGAAGCTGTCCCTGTGGGTGGACTGTAGGTCAGAGAAGAGTTTCAGAGTACCAATGACTGCACTGTCACCCCAGTTAGAGGTGACCCTGACTCACATACCCCGAATGACTGTAAACATAGGAATCCCAGAGGCATGACATTGGTGGCTTTTCCTACTGTCAAGGCTGAGTGGCCAAAGACACTCCCCAGAACCTCTCTACTACAGAAGCAGGGGACCATCTTCCCCAGCAAGGGTGACGTGTGACACAGTTCTATCCTGCCAGAAAGGAGCAGTCAGTAGTACCAAGGCAGGCTGACTGCCTTTAGTTCCTGTCTGTAACATGTACGCGGCAGGATGTGACCAGTGCTACTATTGTATTAGATTGAACCATAGGAAATGGCTGGGATGAAAACATTTCTCATGCAAATGTGGTAATTTCATATGTCCGTACTAATAATCGAAAGATAAAGAAAGCTAAAGAATAAGAAAACGAGTATGAATAAAACAAATAATAAAGAAAGACACTACCAGGCACTAGGTAAGGTTTGTAGGAAGCTTTCTTAGGAGACAGGCCACTCTAGCTCTGTAGACTTGAGCCATCAACCACATTTGTTTCATGAAGTTCTACCCTGTGTTGTTTTAGAAAGGGCTCCGTGAGATGCAGAGATAGCACTGCTTCCGCTAGAAGCGGCGGTGTTCTCCTCCAGGGCTGTGTCTGTCACTGATCCCTCATAAAGGCTGATGGCAGCCACACATCAGAACCCAGGGGAGGGCGACAGGCCAATCTGTTCCTGTCTGTTGACTGATGACTTGGGATGAAAGCTGCCCGGGGGCCTTACTGGGTCAGGTCAAGGTGGCTGATGATAAGGCTCCGTCCGTTCTCTGTCTGGGCGAGCTGGAGAATCAGGGTCAGGCTCTGCTGCCTGATGGCCAGGACTGGGGACGTCAAGAAGGAGAGCAGCAGGCCAGCCCTGTCTGGATGCATCACAAGGAATCGCTGGTTTTCTTCTGCAAAACACATGGGTGACGTGCTTTGTAGGAGTCATGGTGCCACCAAGCCCCAGTTCTGCCCCTACCGCTCTAGGGGGTAAACAGGTCTCCACTCATTTGGGAGGCAGGATAATGGTGTCTAAGAGCAAGACTCCAGAACCAGATCTGGTGGGTCAGGATGAACAGGGGTTTTAGATTCGCAGTTATAAAGTCTTGCCCCCCACCCCCGGTTCCTGTCAGTAAGTCGAGAGTGTAATGCACCTACTGAAGATGACTGGGACTCGGTGAGTCAATATATGATTGCACCAGACAGGAACTGACACACACCAACCATCTCCTTCCCTCCGTGTGTGTGGGGTCTGAATACAGGAGCAAAGGGGAAGGAACTGGCCTAAGTGGAGGCTCGCTTCAGACTATCCAAAATCAGACAGGGGCCAGAGCAGCCTTTGCCACCCAGCAGTGTCTGGAGGTGCTGGATGACAAGTCACACATCTCAAGACAAACTGTACTTTTGGGGGGCAGAGGGGAAAGGGAACTCTCCATCCTTCTATCCCATTAGCATGAGCAGCCATCTCGTGAGACTTGGGCAGCCAAGGAGGAAGGTTCGGGAAACATAACTACAGTGCAGACCTTGCTTTTTGATCCTCACAGTTTTTGGAGAGGAAGGTCTAGACACCAGCTCTCCAGGGCCCGGCCTTCAGGGACAGACATCATGCCTGGCCACACAGCTGGTCACACCTGCAGCATGACTGGCACAGATGAGCAGGCTTACCATTCTCGTAGCACACTGCTTGCCAGAGCTTCAGAACAGACACACAGACGGTCTCTTCTACTGCATCCTTCTTTTCGGCTAATAAGCACCTAGAGGGGACAGGGTGAGTGAGCCACATGCAATCAGTATCCATTTTCTTTCTACTTGGTTTTATCCCGAGTCTCACCGGATGCAAGGTTAAGAAAGTAAACGTTTACGTGCAGAACCACAGGTCACCCACCAGGACTCAAGGACTGCCCGTCACTGAGTCTTGAGGTCCTGGCTTAGGACACAGGATGGAGGGGACAGGTCCGCAGTGGGTGCTGTGAGCCAGGGGCCATGGTGGAGAGCTCGCTCCAACCCACGCTGGGACCTTAAGTCTCAGGGTCATCCAAGCACAAGGGAGATATAAAGTAAGTGTAGATGGGATTCGAACGGGCCTAGCCAGGACCTGGCTGATTCCACTTCCTATTATGATTTACAAATTTAAAAAGCAGATAGAGAATAGGCAGCAATCTTGGAGACCCTGGAGAGCAGTATAAAGGGCCATCTCTCTACCACTGTGATGCCCAGAGCATCTCTGAGGCATGCTGCTGTCTCCCTCTTCATGTATTGCTACAGCCCGACTCAAGTGGCCCCAGGCTCCAAGCTCGAGGGTGTTCACGTGGGAGCTTTGTACCAGAAGAGGGAACCCCAGCTGACAGGGATGGGGTGGGGGTGGGGCACAGAGGAATACCATCTCCTGCGTGAACTGCTTACTAACCGGTTTCACACGCGATGGTAGTGTTCCCTGGCCTTGTCTGCCCAAGTGTCCCTACCTTCTTAGGACCTTGTTGTCATTGATGATGCTGAATCCACTGTGGGTTCTGAATAAAGTGCGTTCTGTGCCTGAAACAAATCCGTGGGAAAGGTGTCAGCTGGTCATGAGAACTCAATTGAGATGATCACGGCATCAAAACAAACCTCTCTCTCTTTCTCTCTCTCTCTCACATACACACACACACACACACACACACACACACACACACACACACACACACACACACACAGAGGTTCTTGCTATGTGGCCCAGACTGGCCTCAAACTGCTCCTGCCTCAGTTTCCCCAGTGCTGGGATTACAGGCATGTGCTACCAGGCTGAACTAGAGACAAATACTTTTTCATTCTGAAAAAAAAAAAAAGAACACAATTACTACCAGCCACATGATGCCACAGACAGAGGAACTACTCAGAAAAGGAGGGCGGGGCTGGGTGGCTGGGCAGGTTTGTGGCACAAGTCAGCATCGGGAAGTTTCAGAGCCTCTAGGTGCTCCAAAACTTCCGGAGAAGACTGGCACACGCATCTGATCTTAAATATTTATTTCCAAGCTGTTTCCAGGCTCTGGAGAAGAAACCTCAGAGCCTCCATTGTACACTAAAGAAAAGCCAGAGAGGCCACGGTTTGTGCAAAGAGCCTCCCGCCACTGAGCAACGAGACTTGCTTCAGCCCTGGCTTTGGTGTTGACAAGATTTGGGAGCACAGAGCAGCATGGCTCTCATTAGGAGAAGAAAACGTTTCCTCTGAAACTATGTTCACATTCGAAGCAGCCAATTAGTGTAATCCAGGTGAACTGTGCTGTTTATCCCATTAAGAATCTCTACTGGGTACCACAGGACATTTTGGGGGGAGAGGGGTACATGTAAAGTGTTTGGGGCGTGTGTGATGACTGAGTGTGTGGAATAAATACGTGGATGTAAGTATTTATGACGGAGGAGGCATGTGGTGTGTGTATACACGTCTATAGACCAGGAGAGTAAGTGCTGTGCTCGTGTGTATGTGGTATTTACTGCGTGTGTGCCGAGCATGTGCGTGTTTGGAAGAGAGGGTGGGGTGTAAGGGATCCCTCGGGATCTACATTAGCATGGGTGTGCACTCGGTATTTGTGGGAGGGATTCTTGGGGTCACAAAGTCAAGACCTCTAGGCGCTGGTCCAGCATGCTGACTCTACTCCAGACCCCGCCACACATCTGGGGCTTACACTGCTTCATTATTTCCGTCAGGATTTCCATCCCCCCTGCATAGAACAGCGGTGCCTGGTCCGGCCTGGACAGGGTCTCCAGGAGATTTTTGGTGGTCACAGCTGTGTTCTTTCCTAAAGCCAGAATTTCATGGGCTTCCTTCTCTTGAAGATCTACCTTCTCCTGAAGATTGACCTGCATGAGGTATTCTAGCAACATATGGGGGGAAAAAAAACTCTCAACAAAGCAATACTCTAATAACTAATACTGTACAAGAACACCTCCCCTCCCTCCTTCCATCCCTCCTTCCTCCCTCTCTTCTTCTCCTTTCCTTCCCTCTTTCTCCCTCCCTTCTGTTTTTCCTTCCCTCTTTCCCTCTGTCCTCCCTCTCCTCTTCCTTTCTGCCCTCCTTCCCTCTCTTCCTCCCTCCCTTCTTTTTCCTCCCCTCCTCACTGTCTCCTTCCTCTCCTCTCTTCTCCTCTCCTCCCTTCCTTTCCTCCCTTCCTTTTTTCCCCCTCTCTCCTTCCCTCCCTCCCTCCCTCCCTCTCAAGGGTGGGAGGTTGAGAAGCACAAAACATTGAAATAATTCAAACTCTTCTTCAGCAAAGATCAAGGACACAAACAAGGCACAGTCTCTATCGAGAATCTTAAGGCCTTGTGGATTCAGAGCAGTGCGAAAGCTCTGCAAGAAGACACACAGAAGAGAAAGGCACGCAGGTGGCGGAGGGAAGCGAGGGACGAAGCGGAGCAGAGCGAGGCTGTGCAGGGAAGGCAGGGAGGGCTGCTGGCCTGGCCAGGGCAGAGAAGGGAGGAAGGTAGGAAGGCACCTATGGGAGGTGCTGGAAGGGGAAAGAGACTCAGAGAGGACACCAGCAGGACCGGACTCACCTTTCACCTGTGTCTGCAGCTTGGGGTTGATTTCTAGGATCTTCTCGTAACACTCTCTAGCCTGCAAAACAGAAGCAAGACCTTGCAAAGAGGTTGGGGGTGACGGTGATTACAAAGCAGGCAGCAGGCATCAAGGATGAGGCTTCGTTATTATCGGCTTGTTCCCAGCCTGCTCACGTTTCCTGCACGGGAGCTGGCCGTGGGGTACAGGGTGTGCACTGGACACTTCGTTTACACTCTTCAGGTTCTGTGTGTGTGTGGTGGAAACACGCATCATTTTAAAACTCATCTGTGCAGTCAGATATAGACATCGGTGAAAAATATCCAGTCTTACCTTTTTTGGTGGGTTGTGTCTATTTGGGATATGAAAAATCATAATGTAAATGCAACACATGCATATGACATTTGCAATAAGAAAGAACAGGAGGCTAACTGTTACCTATGCCCACGGGGAAGTAAGGAATAAATGAAACTGGAGACAGTGTTGAATGAGAGACGGGAAGAGGAAAACAGGCTGCCAACTTCAGGACACAAGCTGAGGGCCAGGAGGGGTAGCTCCCGGTTGTAATTGCAGCTATTGGGAGATGGAGAGGGGGAGGACTGCAGCTTGACCCCAGCCCAGGCAGAGTGAGACCCTGCCTGAACAACAAGCTAGGTGTGGTGGTATACACGTAATCCTAACACTCCAGAGGTGCAGGTAGCAGGACTGTGGTCTGGCTAGCCTGGGACAAAAGCAACAGACTCGCCTGGAAAATAACTAAAGCAGGAAGGGCTCGGGGTGTGGTTCAATGGGTAGGGGGCCTGCCTAGCAAGTGATCGGTCTTGAGTTCAAACCCAGGTACCATACCAAAGGCCCAGGGTAAAAAGATAAAGGGTTCTTTCCTGGTGTCATTGACTCTACTGCAGAGCTACCCATCCAGCACCTTTATTTAATGGTGGTTTTTGAGACGGGGTCTTGCTTTCTGCCTAGGCATGTGCCTGGACCACGATCTGCCTATGGTAGGCCTCTTGTAGCTGTTGAGGTGTCAGGAACATGACACCACGTGTAGCTCCCCTCTGTTGAGATGGGGTCTCACAAGCTTTTCAATCCAGGCTAACCAGGAACCACGATGCCAACGTCTCATGCCTCTTGTATTCCCCTACGAACTTACCTCCCTGTAGTTTTTCAGGGCCAGGTGGGCTTTCCCCATGTGGAAGTAGGCCTTTGTGTAGGCTTCATCACACTGCGTGAAAGAGAATGGCTGGTCAGAGGTTTCGTTAGCCACTTCCCTAACAGAACGAAGGCAGACACAAGTGTTCTCAGGTTGACTGCTGGGGCTGTATGTCTGTGACTGGTCTAACTGTTGCCCGTGAGGGGCCTGAGTGGAGGAGAAGTCCTCTGCCAAAGCAATGGTACATGCCAGTTTTCATCTTCGTTTAGTTGAGACATACTCAGGAAGCAAACCGGAAGCTCTTAACTTGGAAGAGCGCTCGCTTAACATGGGTTTCAGTTAGAATCACCTAGAATGCTCACAATGCCACTAGCTCCCTCTCCCCCCCACCCTTGCCCCCTGGGCCAATGAAATTAGTATGTAGGGTGGGGCCAGTCATTTGTTCAGCTCTCCAGGCCGAATAACTAAGTAGGTAAGTTCGGAGAACTGATTTATTGCAGGAGAAAGAATTGGCTCTGGGAAAACAGCTGGTGCTACCAGTATTTATGTGGGGCCGGGAGGTTTGTTCCTCCTCCCGAGTGAGCTGCAGTACATATATACGTCACATCTATCATTTGAGGCCTGGAGGATGTCCCCCGCTTTCCAAAGACACTACTGAAACGTATGGCTGAGAATCTTCTATTCGGGGGAGGTGTTTCTGCACTGACCTGTCCTCTCCTTTATCTTTGTTAGAACTCTGCAAGGAATAATTTGGCACAGGGACATGAATCTGATTTACAATAGCCTGGTTAAATTAGCCTCGTGTCGTTACAAGGCAGTAACTGGGTGAGATGTCCGTTAGGGATTAAGGGGTAGGGAACAACTGGTCCATGGACTCCAGACCCTCAAAATGATTTGGGATGTGACAAAATGGACCCATATGCTTCTTGCCAGCTGCCCTTGGCTGTCTAAAGAGGCAGATGATTTGCATAGCTAATGAGCTTTTTGGGGGGAGCGGGGGCGGTCAGTTGTGGGACTTGAACTCAGGGCCTGAGCACTGTCCCTGAGTCTTTTTGCTCAAGGCTAGTGCTCTACTCCTTTGAACCATGGTGCCACTTGCAGTTTTCTGGTAGTTAATTGGAGATTAGAGTCTCATGGCTGCCTGGGTTGGCTTCTCATCGAAATCCTCAGATCTCAGCCTCCTGAGTAGCTGGGATTATAGGTGTCAGCCACCAGTGCCTGGCCCCACAAGTGTTGTGAGCAATATCCTTGTGGTTTTTAGCAGAAAAAAAGGTTCCCTACCCATAAGCCTTAGCAAGGTTAGGAGGTCATGTGTTCTGGGTAAATCTGTGTTCAATCCCTCACCAGGAGCAGGGTGCTGGCTAGGCCAACCTAACATACTGGATGTTCATTTTCCTGGTCTGGACGGTGATGCTAATAATGGCATGGAAAGCACGGAGCATGGCTCCAGACAATGCGTCACGAGCTGCTGGTGGTGGAGTTATAAGAGCGGGAATCCATTTCAGAGCAAAAGCGATCTAAAGAAAAGCCGACTCCTAGTAAAAGAGGAAGTGAGAATTGTCAGAGCCAGCCTTGGAGGCGTGTTTCCATGGACGTCCGGAGCAGAGCTGTGAGCCTGGTAACGCCACAGATCCCATCAAGGAAGCAGGAAAGGCACAGTCAAAAGGGGAAAAGAGGCAACTCCAACATTTCAGTTCTTAAACTGAAATAGTCACAGCAAATAATTCACTGGCAGAACACTGAAAGCCTGAGCCACGGCCTCGGTGGGTGTATCACTGAGAAGCAGGTGTCACCGTGGCTCCATCTTCCCCATGACCAGTGCAAAGAGCCACTGGTAGACACTGCTCATACCAGGCCCATTCTCCTGTGACCACGTATCCACGCTCAGGCTCCCCTTGCATGAGCCCCAGGTTCCCTTGAAAGGAACCGTGACATGGAGGAAGAGTGTATTTCTTTGTGTGGGAAGTGTTCTGCCAGGAAAGAAATGATCCCAGTCCTGATTGAAAGCAGCCTTGCTGCCTTTCCTTTCCTCGAAAAGGATCGTCAGTCCTCAAATGCCACCACACCGGCTTGTCTCCACCAATTTAAAAGTGTCAAGAATGTTAAACGGGTGTGAAAGCACTAATGCTAATAATAATGGTACAGAGAATGAAACTTTTTCTTTGAATTTACCGCTTCCACGAAGAACCAACGAATGTTACTACTTTGAGAATTCCTGGAACATTTTGGCCCATCCATCCAAACCGCTCCACCTGGGAGCCTGGCTGGTATTTTAATAATACTGCGTGTCGGCATGACCTCACATCAGCTCTGCTCATCGTTAATTATGCTGTATTATAATTCAGATTTGGGAACAGGCCTTTGTGGAAGCTATACCACATCAGGGGATTATAGGGGGTTGTGGGTTGAGACAAGGCCATTTACGGCAGATGGCGAAGGGGGTGGCTTACAGTCAGACTAACACTGGTTCTGTGATCCTGCATACATTACTTAGTTCATCTCTGAGGCTTAACTTGTGAGAAAAATCAGGACAACAGTGGGCCGGAGCAGAACAGAACAGGCTGTGTTAAGCGTGTGGCAAATGATGGTTAAAACCACCAACAAGGACCCCTTGCCTTGTTCTTCTCTTGTAGGGAGATGGTGGAGAGAAGAAATCGTGATCAAACAAGGGGGCTGTGCAGGTTAGTGGGTCTATGCTGGAGTGAGGAGACTTGATACTATCCACAGCTTCAGGTAACTCTCCTAACTTCAGGACCTCTCCAGTGCCCTGGAATGATGCTTGGAGACAGGGGATTCTCCAAATGTCAGTTTTGAAAGATCCCTTGAGTACTGTGAACCATCACAAGCAAAGGTGGCTTCCTAATTCGCCTCCATTTCCTTTGCTTACTTGGCTCCTCTTCTGCTACCCCCTATTAACAACCAAGCAGGTAGACAGGGCCAGCACACTAGTGTGAATGGGTAGTCTTGGGTTAGCCATGGTTAGGAAGTCAGGCTGAATGTGCTCTCCTAAGGAACCACCTGGAGCATTCTACTGCCTGCCGTAGTTTTACTTGATCACAAGCTGCTTAAAACAATATTGGCATATTAAAATAAAGAGAAATGCAATAATATGAGGGGATGGGGAGAGATGAGGGAGAATGATGGAAGAGTAGCATTGATCAAGCTGCACTGTACTCAGAAACTGACCTGCTAAACTGAGACGCTGTAAAAGCACTTGAATATTAAAAGTAAATAAATGAGTAACAGTAAAACAAAGAGACGCATTTTAGAGAATGCCATATCGATTCACCAGGGGCTTTTTAAATATTAAAAACATGTTTTAAAAGCAAATTTCTGCTTCTTGTTTGTGGCAGGGTGTGGGGCTCATTTCCCTTCTCTGCAGGCAGCAATGTGTGGGCGCAGACCTCTGAGATACGCTAGCTTTGACTCTTTAGTTACAGACCCCAGTGACAATGGAGCACAGGGAAATGTGGATGGAGGGTTATTTTAACATCTTGTCATCCGAAATAATGTCTCTAAGGAGTAATCATGCCATTTCCAAAACAAACAGGCCTTACTTCACTGCACCTTGGACTGCTTCCTTGGGCAGGCTCTGGAAGGAGTACTTATGTAAATCATGGTGGTAAGTGCCTGAGGCCTGACTGAAGTTGAACAACAGGAATTCTCTCTTCTGATTTTTTTCCCTCTACAAATAGGGGTCAGTATAATACAATTCCAATTATTTATTAAGGCTGAAACAGCCTAAATGGATGAGGAAAAATGGGAATATAGTGGAAATGAGCTCCTACAGCTGGCTCAAGAAGAAAGAGATTTCAATGGGGGGTGGGAGGGAGGGAAAGTGGGAGAAAAATGAGGGAGGGAGGAACAGCTTTGACAAGAAATGTACTCTCTACCTTACTTATGGACCTGTAACCGCTATGTACATCACCTTGACAATAAAATTTTAAAAAAAAATTTAAGAAAGTTTTCTAGTATGATGTAGACAAAAGCACCAGATAATAAAAGTGGGGATGGGGGGGGGCAGGAATGAGCCACTGCAATGCAAGGCCTTGAAAAGTACTAGCAGAGCATCTGTGGAAGTGCCCGCTCTGAGCTGGGCCGTTTCTGAGTGGTATCATGACCCTTGCAACATTCCATCTCATTGTGTAGGTGAGGAGGCAGGCTCTGGCTGCAGCTCATACTCTTTCCTACCACCAGACTAGCAGCACCCTCCATTATTTTAGGATTAAGACATTTGTCTTGAGTAGAACCAACCTGGGCGCCTGGGAAAGGAGATATTGTCTTACCTTCAGAGCCCAGTTGCAATCCACCAGCACCTTCTGGTAGTCCCCGAGTTTACTGTAAGCCTGTAATGACACAGATGGACACTCAAACACAGCTCTGCACAGAGCACTCTGCTCAGTACAGAAAGAACAGCCACAAGGAGCAGCTGTATCGGCCGCCCTGTACCAGGCAGGGCCCAGCAGGAATCAGGTAGCATATTCACCCTGGAGATCCAAGTGGATTTTGCCAAGGGACCACTAACAAGGGCAGGACAAGGTTCAGGGGCCATCAAGGGTGTTACAGAACCCCAGGGCTATCAAAGTGAGCCTCCATGACCACAGCGAGGAGGAGGGAAACAGAGGAGGAGGAGGAGGGAGGAGAGAAGACCATGTGGGACCAGCTGACATGAGCGGAGGCCTTTACACGGCCTTCATGGGAGCTGTGAAGCCAGGAGATGAAGAACCCCATCTCAGTGCTGTCCTTCCCTCTGATCTGAACCCCAACAGAAACTAGAGGAGTAGGGGACCAAGACCTCAGTGCATCCTGGCCAGACCCTTGGTGCAGAGCAAGCCGGAGGAGGGTCAGGCGTGGCAGAGAGAAAATGGCCAATGCACTAACCACAAGTACAAGGAAGAGCTCCTCTCCGGCGTCCACCCTGCAGTGAGTGTTCCAAGAGGACACCATGCATGAAAGGGAATCAAGAAGGGACTTTGGAAGACAATGCAAACCAAACTGGGGATTCAGGTGAGGAAGGAAGGCCAAGCTCCAGGAAGGGAGAGTGGCTGTTCTAGGATCCCACCAGTCACCCATAATAAAGCCAATGCCACAGGCAGGGTTGCCCGTGACCAAAACCTTAACGAGGCCCCGTGACATCCCACTGCTCAGATGAGCTGGTTACCCCGACAAGCCAGTTGTGAGGTCCATGGCCAAAGACAGGGGGGAAAGCAGGCAGTTTCTGAGTTTCTGCAGGGCAGCTCTTTGTGGGCATAGGAAGCAAGAGCAGCCCAGCACCTTCATTAACCTGGGCGCTGTGGGTTAACTGAAGAAAACCCTTGGAGCCATCTGTGTTCAGAGCCGTGGGCTGCATTTGAGTCAGCTGTGAGGAAGCAGTTAGCCTCTCCATAGAGACCCGTAACCACTGTGAGTCAGGGCCCAGTCTCTACACAGCCTCTTGCTTTTTATGCCATGGAATATTATTCACAGCCATGAAGGAGAATGAAATTATGTCATTGGCAGGAAAATGGGCGCAACTGGAGATTAATGTGCTGAGTGAGATAAGCCAAGTTCTTTTCCTTGTTAAGGCTTGCACTCAGCACCCTGTCATGTCTCTGTTCTCCTTGGCTTTTTCACATTTCAGGAGGAACTATTCTTTTCTCTTCTTCCAAAATGGTAATTAAATGCTAAACTCACATAAATGACATCAGCAATCTATTGATCATAACATTAATTCTGGGAGAAAAACAAAGCGGTGAAAGGGTAGGGAGTTGTTATTTATTTTTGCTGCTGTTTTTTTGTTTTTAGCAAGAAACACTCAATTCACAGGGTCCTTATTAAGTGTTTTCCAGCACTGCATGGAAACAGGAGATCCATTTTAAAAATAGTCAATGACTTTCTATTTGTCTCTGAATAAGCTTTCTCTTTGGGAAGCCTGAGAGAAATTGCTCCCCTAAAGCTTTTCTTTTGCGTTTACTTGTATTAATCCAGACTCACTGTTGATGTGATTCTTCAGAATGTATCAAAGAGCTGCTTAAAACTAAGTACAGTAAAAATGTAACTAATTTAGACAAACTGGGGGATGGGCAGTCTAATGAGATATAAGTCTAAATTACATAACATTCCCAAAGCAATTCCATTTTATTGCTTTTGAATCACTTCAGAGCCACAATCCTGAATGAGCACCTATCAGTAGATGTTTCTAGGGACCAGAACTGCGAGATAAATCAAGAATGGGATGTAATTGCAGTATTAATTGCTTACATTTAAATGATTCCTCTGAATTGTCAACAGAAACTTAATTCCTCAAATGGATTTATTATGTCTCCAGTTATGTAACTTACCAAGGATGTGCTGAAGAGCAACTGCAAGCAGAGCATTAGAGAAGGTATATGGCAGCTTTCTGCCTTCAATAACTATAGCTTTGCTACAATGATAAGCTGTACGGTGCTCAATCTACCTCTAGCCATCTTGTCTGTCAATTTACCTCCTTTTATAAAGTTTTACCACACATGAGGTAGGCAATTAATACCTCATCACCAGGTGGATGTCTGCAAAGGGCTGAACTAATGAGGTTATACTGTGCTTGGAATAGTAATAATCATCAAGTGATGCTGCTGCTGCTGCTGCTGCTGATGATTTTGTGCTAGTACTAGGGCTTGAACTCGGCCTGGGCACTATCCCTTAGCTTTTTCACTCAAGGCTGGAGTTCTATCACTTGATCCACAGCTCCATAGGCCTTTCAGTAGCTAAGAGGAGATAAGAGTCTCAGGAACTTATTCATGCCGGCTTTGAACCAAGATCCTCAGATCTCAGCATCCTGAGTAACCAGGATTACACTGGCAGCTGGCTTGTGCTTGGAATTATTCAACATTACACACTGTCCCTCCCTGGACTCTCTGGCCTTCATGTGTCTGTTTCTTGCTATTGATGCTCTTCTTCCACCAAGCACAGCCAGACCTCCCTGTGTCACAGAGCCCGGAAGTGATGAGCACTGTGAAACAGCGTCTCCCTGTAGTAAATGACATGCATCAAAGTCATCCCATCCCGGTCCTGCTGACAGGCCCTGATCACCTGGCAATCATGCCCACCCATCTGCTAGCTTCTCAGGCCCAAGCCACAGAGACTTCCATCACACATGGAAAAACAACCAACTACTTCTCAGGGATAAGATCATAGACCACATTTGTTGTTGTTCCAATTGAGAGCTGTCAGCCCTGTCCCTTCATTAAGCAGCAGGTAATAAGCATCAGGGTGGTGTCCTGGGAAACAGATCCCCTGTGATATAAAACTGAGTTGAAAGGGCTGTGGAAACTCAAATTGGCTGTAAGTCCATCCTCGACCCTCCCTCCCCCCGTTCAACTCCAGTCACAGAATCTTGAAGAGGGGTAGACAGAATAAGTGAGAAATGAATAGGAGTTAGAAATTGAGATAGAACCAAAAAGAGGGTGGGGGAGGAGGAGTCGGACGATGGTAGAATTCTAAGTGTCATAGGTCATTGCATCCTGGTGGTCCTCCTACTCAGGACAGAGTTCTCCCCAACTCTTCCTGCAGGACTGGTCGCTTGACATCATTTGAAGCATGGAAACCCATACCTGCTACACACCCACCAGCTCCTCCTACTCCAAACAAGTGCCAGGTTTGGTCAGCACTTGCCAATGTACCATCCCCTAACACCCCACTCCCAACCCCCGCCACGGTCCCCCCCCCACCCCCGCCAGCGGCCCACTGACCTGGGCTCGGTTAGTGTACAGCACCTTCATGTCCTTCATCTTCTCCAAGCCCTCGCTGTAGTGTTGGATGGCCAGGTTGTAGTCGCCCTTGCTGAAGGCTTCGTTCCCCTTCACTCTTAGGGCTGTGGTGATGGAAGTGGTGCAGGTGAGCTCACCACACAAGGTCCCAGCTTCTTGCAGACTGCACTCTCCCGGCTTCCCGATTCTGCTCTGAAGGTCCTAGCCACCATCAATCCGTAGGCACTCACCACTCAATTCTCTCTGCAGCTACTTTAGGACCTGTTCCTTTAAGGTTCCCCGCCCCCACCCCCTTCCTGGTGTTTGAACTCAGGGTCTGGGTGCTGTCCTTGAGCCTCTTTGTGTTCAAGGCTAGCGCTCTACCACTTGAGCCACAGTTCCACTTCCAGCTTTTTCTGAGTAATTTATTGGAGATAAGAGTCTCAAGGACTTTCCTTCCCAGGCTGCCTTTGAACCACGATCCTCAGATCTCAGCTTCCTGAGTAGCTAGGATTATAGGTGTAAGCTACTGGTGCCCAGCTTTTAAGTATTTTTCCCCCTCCCAACCCACCTACAAGTCCTCCAGATGGCATCTCAGAGAACGCTTTGTGCATCAAGGCTCAGGAGCACTCTGAGCTTGCCACACATCGAACGTCCCTGAAAACGATCTTCCATTATACATATCCACCCTCTCACACACTCTGTGCCTATGTCTTTTTTCTCTCCCTTTCCTGTCTCACATTTAGCTTTCTTATTTCATCATCCTTTCTGATTTCCTCATCCAGGGCTCAGACTAGCCAGTGGCAGCTCACTCCCTTCTCTCCCTAATGTTCAAGCACTGTTGAAGACTCCACGTGTTTTAGAAAGAGGGCAGACTGAGGCTGCCCGCTGCAGCCGACCAGAGGAGACATGACCACTGGCTTCTGCAGGGCCAGGCTCTTGCTGACACGGCCCCAGCTGCAAACTCATCACCTGAGAGCAGAACTTCCGGTCCTCAACATCTGTACACAGGCTCCTGTGCACTTCCCCAGCAGAGTGAAGAGAGAGATGGATGATTACCGTCTGCTAGGACTTTGTTTTCCATTCTTCTCTTGGCTCTCTCCTTTGCATCCTTTTCCATAGATGCCAAGAAGGCCTCTGGCCACAGAGGGATTTCCACCATTAAAAGAAAAACACACATATGGTGTTCAGTTTTCTAGTGGAGATTCCAAAATGCGTTTACAGCCACATTTCTCACGCGTGCACATGTGGGTGCACGCGTGCACGCATACACATACACACGCGCAGATACTTCAGAGCCAACTAGAGTGACATTTTCTTCCTTTGACATTAAATGGCAATCTGTGTAATACGGTATTATACATGATGACTGTGGCTATAAATTATGTCTTTTAAAAGAGATTTTGTTTGAAGAGACTTTTTTTTTTCTCTGTTCCTTTTAGCATAATGAACTTTGAGGCTGAGCAACAGAGAAACTGCTGCATCCCTTGAGCAGCGAAGGGCAAATTAGATGACACAGAAAAAGCAAATTCAGTTTACAAAGATTGGCCAGGCGAAAAGGCAGCCAAGTCCCGTGGCACTGTCCAAGCAGACCACTGCTACAGCATCTGGGTGATTAGGAGGATTTGGGTTATGGCTACTTGCAAGCCCAGAGGTTAAAATTTAAAATTTAAGGTCTGGAAATTATAGCCAGTAAAAACAGAACCTAAATGAATAAAACACATCGGGAGAAGATGCTGTTCTTACCTGGATTTATTCCATCTTCAGTCTGTAAGGCACAGGTTATCATAGAAACAAAGAAACATATTTCAAAGACTACTCTCGATTTAATATGCAACTAAACCAAAAAGGTAAGCCAACTACAAAAGAAGAATGAGGCCATTTCTTTTAAATCACCAATACTGAAGGGTCCCAAATTTGGGCGCTTGCTTTAAATTAGCAAATGTGATTATGGGTGCCGTTTCTAGGGGCTGAGAATCAAGATTTCCCAGGTCATGGGATACCCCTCTCTTCCCGGCAGTTATGGACATACAACTGAGTAAAATGCATCACCTTAACAGAACAGTTGGCACACTAGCTCAGTGGGTAGAAAGGCTAAATTTTCATTCAAACAAACCCAAAAGGCTGTTTAAAGATGTCCCAGGGAGACTAAGCAGGGGAAATCCAGAGTTTATACTCCCTTGTGGAAAATAACGTTAGCAAATCTAAGAAAACAAAAGACTATTTCAGTTTTCACAGAGAGCAGGCATTAAACGTCCCCCCAGTGCAGGTCTTCTTGATGAATCTACTTATTTAACCCCCTAGCAGAATAAAACCTCCTTGGGAGCTTGTGGAGGACTGATGAGGGTCTTGTCCATGGCGATGCGGCACGCGTCCTCCTCCTCCTCTAGGTCTCCCTCCAACAGCTGCAGGTGTTTTTCTGTCTCCAGGACAGCTTTCTGCTGTACCTCTGGGTCATCAGAATTCATGTCTTGAATTAAATTGGCTAGAGAGGAAATCAGGTGTGAATCAATCAAGCTGAGTCTTCAAAAGAAAAGAAAAAAAAAAACCAACTTCATTCACCGGAAAGGATGGTGGAGAAAATTAATGGGGAAGATCTTAAGGAAGGAAACTAAGGCTGTAGAAAGCACAGACAGAGTAATGAGAAGCAATATGGAACAATTAAGTACAGGATTTGTCTGGAAAGAGAGCTGCCAGAGAATTTAACGCTAGGCTTCAAGGAATAGTTTTAAGCCATTCTTCAATGCAACCGTAATTTAGGGAAAGCTTATTAGGAGGCAGATAGTCTGCAGAATGTGATAGACAACAATGATGGGTAAAAAAAAAAAAATCTTTCTGTGATTTGCTTTTGTGAAAAGCTTTTGATCTTGTGTAGGAGACGAAATGCGAGTACAAGCAGCTTTGAGGTTCACATAACAATAGCCCTTTACTTCCTCCCTCCCTCCCTCCCCTCCCTCCCTCCGTGTATTTCCATCCGTGGCCCATCAACCTGCAGTCATCTCGCCAGGTACTCAACCCCTTTGTCCTCCCGTCCCATCTGATGGAGAAATCTATTCATCTCACTCCAGTTCCAGAGGGATCAGTCCACTTCTGCATTATCCTAGCGGAAGTGAATCTCATCTCCTCACATGGGTCCCCAAGACTAGCATGAACACGAACCCCCATGGACCCACACTTTTGGAACCTCTGCTGTGCCAAGTTTCCAAGCACTGCCTTGGCTAATGTAAGTCAGGTGGCCAATCCAGGGTGGAGAAACAGACTCCTTTGATTAAACAACAATAACAACAAGGATTTATGACTTTTTTTTTTTTACCATTAACCAGAATGTGTTACAGGTATTTAACTGTTTTTAGTGATTTTTAAAAATAAAATGTACGTACTTTTGCCATCTTTTTTCCTCTCTTAATAAGATATACTATTTCTACAAGCAGTGTAAAAGAAAGAGTTGCCATTCCTCCATGCTCTTGATATGGTCAGACTTTAACATTGTTGTCACTGAATGAATGGGAAGGATAGCTTCTTAATGCTTCAATTTGCATTTTCTGAATATACCTGAGATCAAATACCTTCTGGGCAGGTCGTGTGTATTTCTTCAGTTGATGCACCCGTTCCTATCCATGACCAATTTTGTAAAAACAGGTAATCTGTCCATTTTATACTAATTTATATAATTTCTTTATACATTCTGAACTGGTCCCATGTATTTCTACATATCTTCCTCTTGGGTATGGCCTGTACTTTCATTTTCTTCTTATGGATGCTTGTTTTGAAGAGATTTTCATTTTTTTGAAAAGAATTCTGTAGTTTAAGTTATCCAGCCTGCCATATTTTGTCTTAGCAGCCGATAGCAGGCTAATACAATTGCCTAAACTGAGTTTGCTGTCTTGTACTTTGCAAGTCTCTGTTTCTGTCATATATTACTTGGAAATCATCTACTTAATATGTTTTTGCCACTGAACTAAAACTATCACAAAAGAAAGTAATTCGTCATCCTCTACAATGCCTAAGAATAACATAAAGCCCAAGAAATGAATGACATAGAATCTATGCACATGAAACCACATAAACCCAAGTTAGTTAAAAATAAATTAAATCAGAACTTCAACTTTTCAGACAAGCCACGTTTCAAATGCTTACTGTCTACGTATCTAGTGATTGCACAGGGGACACTACAAATTGTAGAGTATCTCCATTGTTGCAGGAAGTTCTACGGGGCAGTTCTGGCATAAATAATCCCTGGGGGAAATTCAAGGAGGGATTCAAGAGAGACAAAAAGGCCAAGTGAGGAGTATCACACACCAGAGTCTGGGAGGGGAACGGCAGCTAGCTGCTGTTCTGGTGTGAGGTGGGAAGAGGTCAGGGTCATGTGAGGACTGAGGTCCTGATGCAGAGGCTCGAGTTTATTGTGGCTGTGAAGGAATCCAAGCAGAGAAGTGTCTAGCCAGAATTGCATTTCAGATACATTTCCCTGTGGGGAGTGAGAAGCCTGGTGGCAGGGATAACAATTAGGGGTTGTTGAAAGTCTATTGAGAGGAACCAGAATCAAGGGAAGGTTGGGACCGATGGAGCTGGGGAAAGATGCTGAAGGCAAGGGCTGATTGGACGCAGGGTGAAAAGGTGGGTGGAGTCCAGAGGCCTCTTGGAGCTGTGGATGATAGTGCCACCAACCGAGACTAGACAGAGAAGGTAGGACTAAGACGGGGAAAGCAGACAGGGAGAGACACTAGGACTCAATTCTGCACACATTCAGTTTGAGGTATTTGTGGACCACAGTGATATGGCAGGCTCTGAAAAGAAGGCTGGGTGGCAGTTTTGATGTGGAAGTCACCAGCAAAACTGGGTTGTACAGGCAAGAGGGCCAAGGCCAAAGTTCATGCAAGATCACTGAGGGCTGAGCAGAGGAGAGGCTGGTGGGGAACATGAAGAACACATCAGCATGTCCTACTATGAGGTTACAAACTGTTTTCAAACTCATGTCTTCTTTATATCCATCCCACCTGCAGCAGTTAAAACAGATTTTCAAGTTGCCATGTAAGGTTTGCTTGTTTGTTTCTGGCATCAAACAAGCTCCCTGAAGTCTGAACAGGAGCAGACTGGTGTGGCATCTTTCCAACGTGATGTGTGAATGCAGAGTGCATTCTCTGAGGCCCTGTCTGTCTTGGCTGCCCAGAGGGAGAGAGATGATACTCATAAACCACCCATATAATCACAGAGAAAGCCATTTGACTTTTTTTTTTTTTTTAGTCTCTGTAGCTCAAACCTAGAAATGGATCTTTCCCTAAAATAGGAGAGATTTCAGACCCATCAGGTGGGCTCTTGAGCAAATCTCTTCCAAGTGGTGGCTCCTTGAAATGGGGGAAACAGCAATTCCTGTTTGCTGCAAAGGGGACTAAATATGGTGGAAGACTCTCGGCCTGAATTTCAATCAGGATGTTAACAATGATACGAGTTAACAACCAGAAAATACTTTCCTGAGGCTATAACTTATTTCTCAATACCCATTCTGTTTAATTTCAATTACAGTTGTTGTTTTTTTTTTTTAGAATAAGAGTCATAAACCTGCCAGGTAACTCAGAAACTACCATACAGTCCTCCTTTCTCGGTAGCCTTTCTACTTCTCCCTCTCCAAAGCAGAATTTAATTCGCTTGTTATTTATTAGTACTTACTGATTTCGTCCACCTTCTTAAGAAATTTCTGCAAGTCTTCGTCTTGATACTCAGCCATGGTGGAGCAGAGTCTCTAAGAGAAGCAGCATAAATTAGAAAATATATAATAAGACACTAAACAGAACTGTCAGGCTTATTAGCCTTCTAAGACGAAGAGCCGAGTGATTATTTTAAAGGCAGATTTGTGCTTATAAATGTCATGAATAATGGCCTCGATCTATTTCACTCTGGCTGCTGTTGAAGGGCCATGGGACACTCATTATTTGTGGCATTACTTCTGGAAAGCTGCCAGCCCTCTCTCCACTGGGAAAACTGTTTTGTAAATAAAGCCACAGTCAGCTGCAGCACGGAGACCAGAACAGCTGACAGGTCACCAGCGATAATGGAGGATGCTAATGGCCAGGTCTGGTCCTACCAGGCTTGGATCTGGCAGGTGTCAGGTAATCAGAGACTGGACACTTTACATGTAAATGTCTACACTTGTTTACAATGTGTGCCATTGGCTTGTTTCTCAGGAGCAGAGGTACAAAACTGGCTGAAGGGATTAGAACTTGATACCAAGGTGCTTCTTGAATCTTCCCTATGCACCTGGGATTTATTTTGTTCTGGTATGAGGGCTTGAACTTAGGGCCTGGGTGCTATTCCTTAGATTTTTTCTGCTCAAGGCTGGCTCTCTATCATTTGAGTCACAGCTCCACTTCTGGCTTTTAGAGTTTAATGGGAGAAAAGAGTCTTACGGATGTTCTTTCCCTGGCTGGCTTTGACAGGCCAATCCTCAGATCTTAGCCTGCTGAGTAGCTAGGTTCACAAGGGTGTGAGCTTCCAGCGCCTGGCATACCACAGCTGTTTTTGAGAAGGATGGAGACCCTGGTGGTACCCAAAGCTTTGTCTGCACACCGCAGAGCTCATCCCTAATCTTGAAAACACATCCCTCTACCTTTGTCTTAGAGACTCTCAGTCCATGAGCCTGGGGGAGGGCCCAGGAATGTGTGCTTCCAACCTCCTCCTGGCGATTCACAGGTAGGCTTAGGGTAGCACACCTGTAGTGGGATTATGATGACCCGGCCAGGACTATGCTGAGAAGTTCTTTGCTCTAAGTCACAGTGTCCTTATCTCTTCCAACCGCAAGCTGTGTGACCTGGGCTAAGGTCACAGCTCCTCTGGGGCCTCAACCACGCTATGGAAAAGGGAAGTCTTGGGGATACACGGCCGGCCGGCACCAGGGGTGCCCTCATCTCAAGGCAAGCCTTGTGCGTGGCTGGGCCTCTTTTCTTCTCCAACAAGTGTCGTGAATGAACTGATCCAAGCCCACGAGGGCTTGGAAACCCAGGGACCGGGCCCACCACTCGGTTCGGGACCTGGGCGCACACGTCCGAGGGGCGCAGGGCAAGGTGACCCCGGGAAGTGCAGCCCGCTCGGCCCTGCACCCCCTCCACACCCGGGAGGGCGGCTCGCCCCGCCCCTCCCAAGGCCCCGCCCCTCCCAAGGCCCCGCCCCGGCCCCCAGGTCCGCCCTGCCTGGAGGCGGGGCCAATCGCGCCGTTGCTTAGCAACCGCTCCTCAGCGTCCCCCGGCCCCGTGTGCTCAATGGAGGATCCAGTTCCCAACCAATACCGTCCCATCCGTGGGGCCCCCCCAACGACGACGGCCGCTGCTCGGCTTTCGGGGCCGGAAAGAACCAGGTCCCAGAGAAACTTTTAGGGCCACCCCGCAGCACTGACCTGGAGCGCCCCGAGTTGGACCGGAAATGACGGCTGTAGGCGGGCTGGGCTGGGGAGAGGCGGGGCCAAAGGCCAGGGGGTGTGCCGTAACTATGGGGCGTGGCCAGGACAGAGGGGCGTGGCCAGGAACGTGGGAGGGGGAGCCCAGCCAAGCACACCACAGGGTTCAGGGCCAAGTTGGGGTCTAGAAAGAATTAAGGGAGCTGGAGAAGGCTGAAGCCAAGGATGGGGAGAGCCCAGAGGGCTGGAGGCTGGCGGCCTGGCTCCACTGTGCTTGGCCTGCTACAGTGACGATATCTAGGGATCTTGACTGAATGCACGTTATAGTCACTGTGATGTACAGCTGAAGTGTCATCTGCTGTGTGTTTTTACAGATAGGCAAGCATGTCAAGGGAAACAACAGGTTTTAAAAGCATTGCTGAGTTACACTTCGACTCTCTTTCAGGGAATACACCTTCGACTTGTGCCCAACCGAAATCCCTGGAATAGTATTTCAATTCCACTTTCCTTTTATGTCCTCAATAAGAATTGGAGAACCTGTGGTCACTTTCCACTGCAGAGTAAACCTGAGACTGAAGAGATCATCAGCTTCTGTCTCTTCTAACTGCGCACTGGGTGTCACCAGCCCCAGCCCTTTGCTTTGTCTCAAGGTCTTTTATAAGCCTACAAGAGATTCAACAACATCTCCCCTCACACACACCCTCGTGAGGAATAAGGGCCCTACCTTTGAGATTAAGCTGAGATTAAGGTACATGGCTGCTGGCGCTGCAACTGTCTTTGCCTTCCAGGCACTGGAGGAAGCTGAAGGAGGTTAGCTCTGTCTCTTCCTCTCCATTGCTTATCCCAGAACGTATGACCTTTCACAGCAATAGCAGGTAAAAGTCCTGCCTTTGCAGCTCACCTTGCTCCTTCCCTTCCTCCCTTGCTATCATTGAAGGTGCCCCTTCGGGACTCAGCCATAGACTGAGTCTGTGTGTCCTTTTGGGGGACAAGTCTTCCATTCTGGGGTTTGAACTCAGCACCTTGTCTTTGCTTGGCCAGGGCTTTTCCATTTGAGCCATGCCCCCAGCCCCTTTTGCTTCTAGTTAATTGTCAAGAGATAGTGCCTCATGATCTTTGCGCTGGCTAGCTAATCTTGGATCTTGACTCTCCTACCTTCCATGTAGCCACTCCATCTGGCTTGTTCTTGGAGGTAGAATCTTGATAACATTTTGCACATGCTGGCTTTGAACTGTGATCTTCCTATCCTCCCCCCCCCTTCCCCACTAAGTAGTTGGCATTATGAGCATGAGTGAGCAGACCTGAATTTCCATGCCTAACGAATGACAATTATCGGCCACAAGCATATTAGCATCCATGAGGTCAGGGGATGCTTGCTGAGGGCCACACCCTCTCCTGCACATGCATCATTTAATTTACTTCTCTTAGTAGCCCTCCAAGGGTTAACTCCATCTTTCCTCCAGAGACAATAGGAGAATTGCCCAATGAGATGTGAGTCCTGATTTGAGATCCAGCGACCCCATCGCAATGTCTCCCTTTCTGGGAGAGCTCTATGCTGGGAAGCCACTGCCCTTGCTTGGCTCTTTGCTGTGTAAATCTCCTGTCACCCGTCCATGTGCCCAACCCTCCAAAGGGGCGCACCCCCACTCTATTCACAAGCCAGCCTACTCCAGAAAGGTCTTTATTTGAAGACTTTCCCTGACAAGTAAAGGAAAGGTTGGGCCTTGAGTGCCAGAAGGGAAGGGTGCCGCCCACCCTGCCTAGAGTGGAGCTGCAGCGCCACCGTGTGGGATACTTGGCTATACCACCCAGTGTAACCTAAAGTAAAGGCTCTGCCATCTCACCCCCCCTCCCCCATTTATTTACTTCTGGCGTCACCTACTTCCTGTATGTACTTGGCAAAGTTCCCTCTAGGACTTCTGGGATTGCTCCTCTGGAGAATGAAATTATTCCAGTAATTTCAACAACTGAGGCTGGCTGGGCCAGCACTCTACTATTTGAGGCTCTCTGCTTGTTTTAGTTACCTATATAGCTTTGTTCAGCTGTTACTGAGTTCTGTTGTTATTCTTCTACTTTTTCCTGGGAGAATGTTCTAATTATCTGAAATTATAGGTGAGCATATTATCTTTGCCTTTTTGTACATCATCATCATCATCATCTTATTATTATTATTATTATTTATTTTGAACTCAGGGCTTCACACCTTACCAGGCAGCTGTTGTACTTGTTCAGGGCAAAACCATGACTAGCTGGATATATATATATATATATATATATATATATATATATATATATATATATATATATATATATGTACATACATACGTATATATAGCTGAATATATATATATACATATATATATACATATATATATATATATATATATATATATATATATATATATATACACATATAGCTGTAGGGCCTGGGAGCTGTCCTTGATACCACTTGAGTCACAGCACCACTTCCAGTTTTCTGGAAGGACTTTCCTGCCTGGGCTGGCTTTGACCCATGATTCTCAGATCTCAGCCTCCTGAGTAGCTAGGATTACAGGCTTGAGCCACCAGTGCCTGGCCAACACGCATTTTAGGAAGACAAAACATTCAGTCTACTTAGGAGGCTCAGACCTGTAGGATTGTGGTTCAAAGCCAGCCTTGTGGAAAACTCTGCTAGATTCTGTCTCCTATTTATTAACCAGCAAGCCTACTGGAGATGTGGCTCAAGTGGTAGAGCATCAGCCTTAAGCAAAATAAAATTATGTGTGTGTGAGTATATATATATATATATATATATATATACATATATATATATATATATATATATATATGAGAGAGAGAGAGAGAGAGAGAGAGAGAGAGAGAGAGAGAGAGGAGCTCAAGGCCCTGAGTTCAATCTCTGGTACTGGCACAAAATGAAACCAAACCAAACCAGAACCCCAACCCCAACCCCATAAAGTCCATAACAAGAGGGCAGCACATGTTTTGGAATTAGCATCTGGTACTAACTCCACCTTGATGGTTACTATTACAACCTGCTGCTTTTCACATGTTAATTTCACTTATTGAAGAGGAAGTAGAATTACTCATTTGCTATTACCTTTTAAGAAGCTAACCCCATGGACGTCAGCAAAATGCAACATGGGAGGTTGGATCCTGGGGTTGGGAATTCCAGACTCCAAGCATGGTCCTTGATGAGGCTTGGTGCAGGCTCTGTCCTGTTTCCTGGGTATTGTTAGTAATGTCCTGAGCCTTCTCCCTGGGGTGGTACCCAGAAACTTCAGGTTGTTCTCAGAGGTTCACATACTACCACTTCTTCTACATTAGTAGGAGTTTCCATAAACATCCTCGTAGTGCAAGGAACATTCCAAACCCAAAAAAAGCTGCTACCAGAAGAAAGGAAAATTACCATCCCGCTCAATACATTGACCCAATGCAGATTTGTGGTGGGCATGGAAAGGTGGTATTTTGACTCAGGCATCCGGTGGCTTGTGTCTGTAATCTTAGCTATTTGAGGAGGTTGAGGTCTGAGGACTGAGGTTCGAAGCCAGCCTGGGATTAAAAGTCTATGGGAGTCCCATCTCCTATACAATCAGTGGATCAAATGCAAGGGCCAAAAAAGAGGCAAAAAAAGAGATAATTTTTTTTGGGGGGGGTTCCGGTCGTGGGCCTGAACTCTGTGCCTGGACGCTGTCTCTCAGCTCTTCAGCTCAAGGCGAGCGCTCTACCACTTGAGCCACAGCGCCACTTCTGGCTTTTTTCTTTTTGCTTATGTGGTGCTGAGGAATCAAACCCAGGGCCTCAGGCATGCAAGGCAAGAGCTCTACCACTGAGCTACCTTCCCAGCCCAAGAGATAATATTTTGAAGTGTCTGGTACATTGGGTTGCTAGCCTTCAAAGTTCCTGTAACAGTGATAAGTATTGTCATATCATTATTCTTACTTGGAAAGTGTATTCTGTACACTTCAAGGTTCCAAATCAGTGCTGGGCAGCATTTCCTCCTTTGGAGTTCAGTGGATGCAGACGGCTCAGTCCAGGAATGATTCAGAACACTTTTCTCAGTCCCCAGGGAAGACGGTAGCTTCCATCCACAAGGCCAGCTTGGGGTAAGGCCTGGTCTTCCTGTGATTCTCAGGATGGCCACTGGGTGGCAGCTTTTGCTCGGTCTGTGCCCTTCCCAGCTAGGCCTCAGACATGAAGTACTCTTTAGGTGTTTCTCCTTACACCCCATGTCTGTAGAGACCCCAGGTATTCTGGGGCTGGAGGTGTGTGTGGGGGGGTAGATGCATGCAGAGGGTGTCCGTGATGTATCAGGGTGGCAGAGAAATCATGTTAACTCTGAGGCATGAATCCCCACCTCCCTCCTTCCCCTTCCCTCCCCACCAAAGATTGGTAAGCGTTGGCAAGAGGCTGAGTGTATTTTTTGGTGATCAGATTTGGTAGGAGACCCCAGTGGGCATGAGTTATTTTCTGGCTATTCTGGAAACGCAGGCATTTTTATGGAGAGCTACCCCTACCCCACCCTACCCCTTACTCCAGTAGCCACATAAGTATGGTCTGAACTAACAGGGTAGACACATGGCTTGTACATTGCCCGTTGTGGAATGGCCTTGCTTCTTATTTCTGTGAGATGTTAGGCAAGTTACCAAGGCTCTCTATGCCACCATTTCCTATGTAGAAAATGGGGTGATAGTGTGTACTATCTAGGATACAATTAAATGAGTGAACATTTGTAAATGCTTAGATCATTCCTCCCAGAGGAAGTGTTAGCAGAAACACTACAGAAAATCCAACTGTCAATGTGGGGAGTAATTTTTGGGGGCTATCTACATTGCTTTGTCATATTGCATTTAGCATCAATTTAAGTCCCATAGCCTATTTGATTTGGTGTTATTAGAATGCATTTCACTGCTAAGCCTCCATCCTTGGGCTTTGTCACTTGGATTTTCAGGAGGTCACACCTGTCCCTAGGAGAGGACTAGATATCCTCTCTGAGGCTGTCTTTCTCAGCTGGCCTCAAGAGCTATTTTTTTTTTG